ATTTAAAATTTAGGAATTCTTAACGTATATAAGGAGATACGGGGATTAGAAACCAAACTTAGGTAGCCATAATTCTCGTACATAATCATAACATATATAGGGAGACATGAAAATTAAGAATTGTATTTCGTTGCTATAATTCTCGTGCATAGCTACTGAACTCCGATAATTTGAATTTAAACATATAGGACCCATATCATATTTATAACTTAGAATTATGTATTTTAAAGCATGAAAAACGATTTAACATACAACGTTTGACTACATTCGTAAATCTGAAGAGGATTTGATAAAGCACGTATGAAAGAACTTGACCTCAAACAACCGTTTATGAACTATGTGTGTAGTGTGGGACAATCATAGTTACACACACACACACATACATATATAAACACATGTACTTTTGGTCATACTATATTTAAATCAGTCAATCGTAATTATATATAATTATACATATATAGATCTGTACGTGATTGTAGTAATGTTATATTTGAGATCAATTAACCATAATTATATATAATTATACATATATAGACGCACGTAATTATAATAACTGTTGAAGATTCTAGCTGTTTTGGGAAGTTTTGGTGGCTGATTTACTTCTATATCTTTTAGCTTTTGTTTCCTTGTTTAGAGGGTTGGAATATATTTACACTTGGTAGTAATATCTTGAATTAAGGAAAATAATATGTGTTCTATACCTATAAATAATGGTATTCAACCATGATTTATTAATTATTGAAAGATCACCACTTTAATGTGGTTCTTTATTTCTCTCTTCTTTTATTGTATCAGAGCCAGGTTCGGTTAAGTGGACGGAATGGTAAAAACAGCCATGACTGGTACACGCAGAGAAGACGACTCAGGGGTCTCCACGGGGTCCTCTGATCCTATCTCTAAAAGTGTGCCCAATCCACCTAATCATCTACCCATGGCATCTCTCGCCGAAAATTCTTCTCTCCAACTTACAACTACCTGGCTAAACAGCAAAAACTTTCACCAATGGTCTAGGTATGCTCTTATGGTTATCCGTGGACGTGGACGCCTGGGTTTCATAACTGGAACCTCAATAAAGCCTGCTGAAAGTGACCCAGCCTTTGGAATTTGGGATGCACAGAATTCCATGGTAATGGCTTGGATCGTGAATTCAATGGAAGAAGACAAGGAGGAGTCCTACCTCTATTACTCTACAGCAAAGGAACTGTAGGATGCACTTACGGTTGCCTTCTTTGATTTGGAAAACTAAGCCCAGCTTTTCGAACTCCGAAACAAATCACGTAATTTGCATCAGGGAGACTCCGATGTAACCCAATATTACAGTTCACTGCAACGACTGTGGCGAGAAATTGATATGTTTGTTTAGATTGATTGGGACACACCTAAAGATGCTGAGAAGTATAAAAAACAGCTGGAGAAAGAGAGAATCTTTGATTTCTTGGCCGGATTGGTACCTGAGTTAGATGAATTAAGAGGTCGACTTCTGGGCATGAAGCCACAACCGTTGATAGATGAATTTTTTGCTGAGGTACGACAAGAGGCTAATCGAAAACGGGTCATGCTTGGAGACTCCAAACAGCTTTCATCGGAAAACTCGGCACTTACCATTCGAGGACATGAAACCTCCGAGACTAACAAGAAAAATAGCTCGTGGTGCGAGCACTGCAAGAGGACAAATCACTCCATAGATCACTGTTGGACTCTTTATGGCAGACCTCCAAATCGTAAACAGTGGTCAAGACCCAGTCTTGAGGGGTCACAAGCACGTAATTCCTCATGCTTCCATCAAAGACCCAGTCGCGAGGAGACGCAGACGCGAAATTCCTCCAGCTTCCAGATGTAACGACTCGGGTCCCACTTAACGAGCTGTCCCCAGCCGTTAGATTGACGACGTACTGTCCTCACTGTACCAACATGGGTCTTTACAGCATGCTTTGTCCTCACTCGCACGCTCTCCGAGATTACTTCCCAGGGGGTCACCCATCAT